AATTTCTAACTAGTTTGTAAGGTACGTGAATAATTCTGGTCATGTAACGTTGTAAATACGAAACACAAATCAAGATAGATTACGCTAGATGTGCGAATTCGATTTGAAGTCCCATACGAATGGGCCCCGATATCTTCTGTGATAATTTTATTTGTAATCTTTTATTCTTACTTTCTTTATTCATGGAATGTATATCATATTTTGCAATTGACAATCCTTATATACTCTTTTTATCATCGAAAAGAAATCTTTTTTTATGAATTATCAATGAATTATTAATTTTGTCTATTAATTTTAAAATAAATATTTAAAAACATTACTCAAGAAAGTAAATATGAAGTTATAATTATTTCGATCAATTTTATTCTCAATTTCTTAAATTTAAAATTAAAAGTCTTGATTATGTTTCAGATAAGATTTTAAAAAAATTAACAGTTTTATATCTTGTATTCTCATAAAAAAGAACGTAAGAAATGTAAAATGTGATGTTTACTGAATAGTTACGATCACAGGAGATAACGGCATCCACGAAGACTATATATAATAATGTACATGATCGGTGGCATGGTATCTCCGTCTGCGAAGAAGAGGAAGGCATGTCAACGTTACACATACGATAATACAGTCGCATTTACAGGTTTTTTACGTTTGTACCGTATTTATATATACGCTGTACACAGCGCTGCACTTCAAACTCTATTCAAATAATGATAATTAACTGTGTCATCAAATAAATTGCATTCAAATCTGTCTTGTTGACCTTTCTCATTTTAAACCTTACGGTTATTTACTAGTAAGAAAAAATTGTCATGCTTCAAGGGATTATTTCTAAAAAATAATGAAGAATATTTTCTATAAAAAATAATATTTCGTAAAAATATTAAAACTAAAATTATACAATTCAAAAGAATTGAAAATTTATTTTCTAATTACCAAATAAAATTGAAAAAAATTTAAATTAAGATTTAAAAAAATTTTTTTTTTTTCTTATATTTTTCTTATATCTTTTCTTACAAAAGAATGTTTATTTTAATTTTTTTTGCGTAAAATCTCTCTTGAATATTATTTTTTTATTAATTTTTTACTTTTAATTAAATTAATCTTCATTTTATATCTATTTTTTATAAGGAACATTTACATTTTTACATCTATGTATTCTGACTCGTCATATAAGAATTGTTCTTAGATTACCGATGATCCAAAATCACATTAGAAATGTATTTCTTTTTCTTCAGACAATTTTCTATTACGGCATAAACGGTAAGCAATCTTCTATCCATGGCATTTAAGTGTGCCTCTGTAATGAGTGGAGAAACATCTGACATTACAGCCTCGTGTGCAAGAAGTCTACCTAATGCGATGCCTAGAGATCCACCACTAAATAATCGCAACCTATCCCACGTAGTTTTGTGAATCCTAGAATAAAATACATTTGTTTTAATTTTATTCTTTTCTTTAATTGTTGCCTCTTTTTACGCATTTTCTAAATGCCGTAATGAACTTAACAGATTCAAAGATTTCAAATTTTGTAAGCAAGAGAGATGTTAAAGATTTCTCATGTCTTTTAATTCCATAACTTTTGCAGCAAATATAAATTATACTCACATGCAACACTGATATAGAGGCGCTAAGATGTCGAGATGATCAACATCAGGATTGCCTAGACTCTTTCCATTATCGATCAGTAGTACTGCAGGATTATGAAAATTGTTTTGTGCGAGTTCATAATGATGCCGATCACCATTATCTATAAGGAAATCAAAAATCGCTGTATCAATCAAATCCAAAAGTCTACTCGACGATTGCGGTGAATAAGCCTTGGAATCTTTTACCTAAAAAAAAAAATCAATTCTATATTTTCCACATCAAACATCAACATTTATAATTGTATTTATAATTGTATTTTTCATGAATTTTCATAAATTTTTATTCTATTTAAATATTTCATATATATATATATATATATATATATATATATATGTATGTGTGTATATTTCACCTGAATGTATACAGAGAGATTTTAAACTTTTTGACATTCTGCTT